CTGTGTGATTAGCCTGCTGCCCCCGCGAACCGGTCCCGGATAAGCGGAGGAAAATGGACGGATGGATGGATGGATCATTTCTTTACTGTAAAGAGCAAAGAACTGCTCACCTGAATCTCACTTGGACTATAATAGTAACTAGTGGAAAGATATTGTAAAAAGAAACATCCCTTTATTGAGAGGAACTGCTTTAAAAAATTGGATGTGATGATTATGCTACAATACATCACCTACACAGCAAAGAGTACCACAGACACACAATGCAGACCTTTCCCAGGAGATCTGTCTCACACTGTAACAAGGATCCAATACTCAGACCTCTGTTGAGGAACCCAGGGATTGTGTATTTACATATACGGTACTGTAAAGGTATAGCCTTTAATATGTAGAAAAGGAGAGTAATCTGAACAACACATCAAGTTACACTAAATTAATTTCTCTCAGATGCAAATTCCGTGGGTTGTGTGATGCAGTGATACTGATGTGTATTGCATCTGAATTATCCTCTGCATCGTGCAAATGGCTCACTGTCAAAATATACTGGGAGCTTAATTAGTTTCATTTACTTTCCTTATATCAGACACACCAGTCTCATCTCATGTCCTCAATATTTTTCTTGAATGGGAAACAAAGACATGCTTCCATAACATAATGGACACTGAACCAGCTGAATCAAAAAGAAAAAAAGCAAGAGATAAGAGTGTCACATTCAGAAAATTGGCAGATAAAAGTTTCAGACACACAAAGATAGTCACTGCGCAGGGGTTGAGGCCCCAATTTGGACGAGCCATAATGATGTTGTGTTCTGCAGCTTCCATCTTCCATCACCAAGGAAACTGAAATGAAGAAATGCCAGCAGACACAGTGTGGAACCGGCTGAGAGCCAAGCCTTTGAAGGCCAAAATATACAGTTAAAAGTCTGGGGAATGCAGACAGTTAACCAGAAATGTTCGTATTCTTTCTGAGTTTTGAATCTCAAACCGCTCTGTTAATCACATCATTTATATAGAAAGAAACTCTCCCAACAATTATCATATTCATTTGCATCCAATCGAGTGAGTCATTGAGTAAATTATGCTGAAATAATAAAGAAAAAAGGAACAAAGAGTAGTTAACCCACCATGGAAAAATTACAGTTCTGAGAGTATAAAGCAGTGTATTAAGTTAGCCAGCGCACATCTCTGCTTAATGTTGCCATAGCCTAAAGCACAGCTTTGAATCATAGACCACACTGTAGGTTTCTATTGATTTATGATCTCTCAGTGTGGTAAATACACTGTGAACTGCTTCCTCATTGATATTTTGGAATGCTCTCTTTCCTTTCTAGATTCATCATCCTCTAACCTGCCTGACAGCAAAACACACTTAAAAACACACCCACACTGGCACAAAGTGATCTTACGTTGTTCATTTTGCCAAACACTCTTAGATAAAACATGGGTAACGTTTGCTATAAATGTCTAATGTTTTGATGGCATGACTTCTGATGATTGAATTTTAAACTATGATCATGAACAGTTCAATAAAGCATCTGATTAACGTGTCTGACACAGTCAGGGTTGGCATTTATGTCACTTATGAGATGAGGATGATTCAAAAGGCTTTTGGATGCATTCGTTTATACATTTCTGAGTGTACAGCACTGAGTAGTGTATATGGCACAACGCTTTGTGTGCTGTGCGTCCTTATCACATAGAAACATTATGTTGTCTGGGCAGTAAATCAAAGTTGGGTAGTTATAAAGCATTTTATATTGCACTATATGTTCTCAGGAGACAGGGCAGTGGGAAGTCCCAACTTAATAAGCTAATTAATTCCAGAGGTCAGATCATTTGAGAAAGTCTGAGCCGAGAGTAAAAGTCTTTTACAAAAAGTATAAGTCATTGGTTATGTCATTCTAGACAAGTCCAAGTCATTTAAAACAAGTGTAAAGCCCCATGAACACAGAGATCACAGCAAACTACTGCCGTTTTGACTCTTCTTCAATGAAACTGTTTTGATTAAGTCCCTTTTACACTGAACTTAAAAACGGCATCAAACCGGTGCTCCTGTGTTCCTTTTACACAGCTGCCGGTTTTGTGTCGAAACGTTTTCCCCATCAAATGGCAGATAGGCACAGTCAGCAAAATTCATTTTCACAGGATTGTGTAGTGGTATCAAGAATTTTGAGACAAATTAAGTGTCAAGTCTGTTCAAGTCTCAGGTTACTTGAAATTATGTATGCAAATCATATGCTATGATATTTTGCTCGTCCAATAATTAAATATTCAAGGTGTGTGGTTATGCATGACTTTCCAGACACTGTCCTTTTAAACTTTTATTGTTCTGAGATTTCCCCACTTTTTCAAGTCTCAAAACAATTTGATCTGATGGTGATCTGAGTTACTTTGGCTGGTTGAAACTCTTCATTGCATTATGTGTGCGTGTGCAGATTCTGCTTAGATACACCGACTAGGGTAGGACACATTAATATTTAATATAGCGACAAACCTCCCATTTCTGGGTCCACTGGTATCATCAGCCTCTCTAATTAGGCATTTTCTATGCCTTTCACTCTTTTAAATATCCCTGTGTCTTGTTTCCAAGAGAATAACAAAGAATAAAGGCCCTTATTTCTTATATTACTTGACATATGTACCATAATGCTGTGAAACATACTGGCAGTCAAATCTTTCTCCCTGAAGCTGCTTCCTTCCATTTGTGTTAAAACGGAAACAGTTAAGAGCACAGGCAGCAGTTCATAAAAACAACTTGATGTTATTTGGTTTGCTTAATCCCAACAGCTGTCCCTCTGCAGTCTAATCAGTTACCTTTGGCGTCAGGGTGTAAACAGTTGTATTTTGGGAGCTCCAGAGATTAACAGTTTGATTACTGCCAGTAATTATTACTACTGTCTCATCTAGCATCTTCAAAGAGCCACAGAACCTACAGTACTTTAGACCAGCAAACTGAAAACAAAGTCAAAATGCCATACTGGCTAAGTTATGCATTCACTCTTGCTGCTCTCAGTGTAATTTTCACTGCAACAGGCAGCTGTTTTCTGAAAAAAAGCACTAAGAATCCTTTGTACACTACCTCTCAAATGGCAGATAGGCACAGTCAGCAACAAGCTGGTGAAAGTAGTGGAGCATTAAGCAGGGAAAGTCTAATATTTCCCTTGTGGGGTAATACAGATCAAAATTAGAACTAAAAGGCGAGTGAACAGTGAACATACATTTACCAGATGGCAGAAACACGGCTCCAGTGATGTCAGTGATGGTGTCAGTGATGTGTTAGCGTTCACAGTGAGTTTCTGCTGCTCTAAGTGGCAGAAAAATCAAATAATGCAGTTTTAGAAGCTAATGTTGACTAGAAATATTGTCATCACAATACATGGCTTTGGGTGCACACACAGAGTTTGAATGGCAAACTGAAACTTATCAGTAGCAAAGACAACAAAGGGTAATAACAAATAGAAGATCGAATGCTAAAAATTATTCCAAAAAATGCTACTATAACAAAAACAATGTAAGACTATCAAGGACTTGCTGTGAGCTATAACCTCTTCCACCGATGCTAACTCCCATATTAAAGCATGAACTCTCAGGGGTGAAAAACATCTGGAGGAGAAAGTCAACACCTGAGGAGATTCAGATGCTAAAGACGCACATGACTACGAGGGCAGCAAATACTGTGACAGTAGCGATGAGCAGCACTAAGCTGTTAATTATGTAACAATCAAAAACAATGAGTGGGTTGAGGTCAACAAGGTCAGGCTCAAAAGTTCAAAAAGACCAAAATATTTTCCCCAAAGTATTTTGCTTGTTTTGTTCAGATACATTAAACACTGATATGAAATAGTTCTGACATATTTCAGTGTGCTATTGAATCTAATGCGTACGTTCAAGCATGAAGACACTTTACCGTGGACACGCAGTCTCTCCTCCCTCTCCACTTTAATCTTTAACAGCTGCCTGGGTGTTTCACTGATTAACCAGCGAGTTTCT